TTATATAACACTATGGGAGATGGCATCTCGGATATAGACATGATTTTAATCCATTTTTAAAAACAGAATAGAGTCTCGTAGAGGACGGAATTGCGCACCAAGTGGACAACAAACAATATATGTATAATATTGCGGAATATTAGTACTTTATTAATTCATATGCGTTTTTCTGAGAAATCGGAAATAACGTAAATTACTACTTCCGTTCAACGGAAATTACTCAAAATTCAAAGAAATCAGAGTATTAGATCCTTTACTTACATGCGAAATTTCATTTATCTATCTGAAACAGTACTCAAGTTAAAGGTTTTTGAAAAATTGAAAGAAGAATGAGTTCCACTTTCGATTATCGAAAATCGCTGAAAAATGGATACAGAACTACAAATGTAATACTTATATATGAAATTAAGTTATCGTGTTCACGGACATACACACACATGTACACACATACACACACAGACATACGGACAAAATTGCAAAACTATGTTTTTCCGGCTCAGGGAGGTGTAAAACGTGTACAGAGGAGTCCATGGGGGGGGGGGGGTTGTAACCACCTCTCCCCCCCCCCTCGCCTACGCCACTGGGCACATATATATTCTTTAAGGACTGATTTAACAATTTACTTCATGTAATCAATGGAAGGATAATCAGCAGTGACCGGTATAAAGCGTCTCTCCCCTTCCCATTTCATCCTCAATGTTGTCGAAATTCGAAATAAATTTTAATGGATGCGTGGGTAAATCAATCCTCAAACTTTTTTAAAAATAAAAAACGTTTTAATAACCAGAGTTTCTTTCAGGCATCTCTTCGGGGGGGGGGCTAAGCCCCCCCCCCCCAAACGAAATGAAATTTATATAATTTATATAGAAAATATATACTTTTAACAGTGTCCGCCCCCCGAAGAAAGTTTACCGCCCCCCCCCCCCCCCCCCGAAGATTTCAAGTGCTCCCCCCCCCCCCCCGGAGAAAAAAGTCTGGAAGAAACACTGTTAATAACAAGTTTGTATGTAATAATGCACTAAACAGTAGAAAATAAATTATATACTACTATTTAAATAACTATAAAGAAAAGCGTGGGTCACTTTAGTATCTATTGGATACCTTTATTGATATTTAGGAAGAGACCCACGCTTTTCTTTATAGTAATTTAAATAGTAGTGTATAATTTATATTATACTTTTTAGTGCATTATTCCATAAAAGCTTGTTATTAAAACGTTTTTATGAAAAACTTTTAGTACTTTACATGTTTTATTTACACTAGAGTTGCGTGACTAAAAACCATTGCGCACCTATTAAACGTGATGACGCATGTCTAATAGTGCGGCAGTGTTTAATAAGACAGCCTACTAACTTGGACCAAATTTTAATTAATTCATAAAACATTAATCAGGCAACCAATTAAGTCAAATTTTATGTCAAGTTGCATTGTCTTCATGTCTTGACCCACGTACTAACTACGAACCGTGCCTGTCAGCTAGAAGTGCCGGCAATTTTGCTCGGGCGTTTCGATCTAGACAGGAAGTGAGTTAAATAAAAGCTTGTAAAAAAAAAGAATTTCATAAAAAACGTTTTAATAACAAGCTTTTATGTAATAATGCACTAAAAAATAGAAATAAATCATACACCACTATTTAAATAACTATAAGGAAAATCGTGGATCACTTTAGTATCTATTGGATACCTTTATTAATATTTAGGAAGAGAACCACGCTTTTCTTTATAGTTATTTAAATAGTAGTGTATAATTTATTTTCTACTTTTTAGTGCATTATTACATAAAAGCTTGTTTTTACAAGCTTTTATTTAACTCACTTCCTCTGTCGTCAGTCGTCAGTCGACTGTCTGTCGTCAGTCTAGATCGAAACGCAGGAGTGAAAATTCGGACAGTTCTACTTGACCGATAGGATTCACATTTGACACGTGGGTCAAGACATGAAGACAATGCAATCTGAAATTAAATTTGACTTAAATGCCTAATTGATTTTTTATGAGTTAATTAAAATTTGGACCGAATTAGTAGGAATGTCTATCCAACCACACCAGCTGCGCCATTAGGTTTAATAGCTGCGCCATCACGTTCAATAGCTGCGCCATCACGTTCAATAGACGCGCAATGGTTTTTAGTCATGTAACACTATTGTAAATAAAACATGTAAAGTACTGAAAAAGAATTTCATAAAAAAACGTTTTAATAACAAGCTTTTAGGAAATGATGCACTAAAATGTAGAAAATAAATTATACACTACTATTTAAATTACTATAAAGAAAAGCGTGGGTATCTTCTCAAATATTAGTAAAGGTATCCAATAGGTACTAAAGTACTAAAGTGACCCACGCTTTTCTTTATAGTAATTTAAATAGAAGTGTTTAATTTATTTTCTACTTTTTAGTGCATCATTACCTAAAAGCTTATTATTAAAACGTTTTTTATGAAAAAAAATTTTAAAAGGTTTTAATGAATTTTTTTCAGTACTTTAAATGTTTTAAATGTAAATAAAGTTGTATGACTAAAAACATTGCGCACCTAATGAACGTGATGACATGTAAATAATAGTGCGGAATAGTTTTATGAGACAGCCTAATTTGGACAAAATTTTAATTAATTCATAAAAATTTAATTAGGCAACCAATTAAGACAAATTTAATGTCATGTTGCATTGTCTTTATGTCTTGATCTACCTTTCAACTACGAACCGTATCTGTCAGTTAGAAGTGCACGTAATTTCGCTCGTGCGTTTCGATCGAGACAGACAGACTTACGACAGACTGACGACAGACTGGCGATAGACAGAGGAAGTGAGTTAAATAAAAGCTTGTTAAAACACAGAAAATAAACAGTACACAGAGATAAAATGTTTCATAAAACCAATATTTTAAGGGGTGAAAATACTTAACCCAATCGCATGACTTTAAATACTCCAATTATTCTTCGACCAGACTGTTTCAAAAGGTACTACAGTTTACAACATCATTCAAGCCATTGATAGAGATGAAAATGACAAGCTACAATACTCTTTACAGGCTAGTTGTTTTGAAAATATATATATATATATATATATATATATATATATACATATATATATATATATATATATATATATATATATATATATATATATATATATATATATATATATATATATACCTGTATAATTTAATTTAATAATTTGTTATTTCAACACCTATAGAAATATTTCTTTACGTAATATGTTAACATTGGGACGGAGTAGTCTAGCGGCAGAGAGTTAGACTGCTAACCCGTAAGTCTCGAGGTCAAATCCGGGTTCAAGTCAGTGAATCGTCCCTGAGTCCACCCAACTCTGATGGGTACCTAACTCACGTTAGGGAAAGTAAAGGCGACTGGGCATAGTGCTGACCACACTATCTCTTCATATGCCGAGGTCACAGAAACAATTGAACTCTACTTCACTTGCCCCATAAACCGTCAGGTTTGAAAGGGAAACTTTACTTTTAATATGTTAACAGAGCCTGTTAATAAGGGGGCCTGGCTTACAGTGCTTATTACTATGTACTGGTGCTACTATAAGAATCTCATGATTTTCGATGAATAGCTTTTATCTTTTTTTTATTAGATCGTACGAGCAATGTTTCTAAATGATCCACAGTATGCAAATTTTTACCAATGATATTTATTAAGATAATTTCAATAGTGGGTAATTTTCGGAGTTGTCAAAAGGACGCGGTTGAGAGATAAGGGACAAATGACAATTGGGAATTGTGACAATGGACAGGTGCCAAGGACAATAGACTGGGATTAGAGACAAGGTATAAAGGATAGTGAATTAAGGATAAAGGGTAAAGAAAAAGGGAAAAGGGATATGTGAATATATGGATAAGAATAGGGTTAGTGATAGGGAGTATGTTTTAAACTAAATGTGTTAATTACCCAGAGGTTTGTTGACAGTTTGGTAATTAATCCGGAGGGGGAGGGGATATCGGAGAAATAATTGACGGACCAATGTAAATTTATATATATATATATATATATATATATATATATATATATATATATATATATATATATATATATATATATAGATAGATAGATAGATAGATAGATAGATAGATAGATAGATAGATAGATAGATAGATAGATAGATAGATAGATAGATAGATAGATAGATAGATAGATAGATAGATAGATAGATAGATAGATAGATAGATAGATATATATATATATATATATATATATATATATATATATATATATATATATATATATATATATATATATATATATATATATATATATATATATATATATATATATATAATTTATTTTACATCTCTAGGTTAATGCCCTGGTACGTATATATATTTACTTTGAAATTTTAAAATGTGTCAACAAATATTACACTGTATTTTATTATATTAGACGCTAAAAACACTTTCCACCAATATTTTACAAACGACTTTGATTCTATTTGTAAATGTTTAATTAAAGAATCTATTTTTGTCTACCACATGTGTTATTGTAAACGTTTGAATAAAGAATCTGTTAATGTCTACCACAATTTATTGTAATAGATTGATCAAAGAAATCTGTTAATGTCAACCATGTTTGTTATTGTAAACGCTTCATTAAAGTGTCTGTATATGTCTACAACAGGGGGCTGATGAGGAGTATAAGAACATGTTCATTATAGATAAAGACACGGCTGTCCTGACCCTAAGCGGCTCGCTAGACTTTGAGAGCAACAGATTCTACCAGTACAAAGTCATAGTTCTGGTGAGTTTAATTTAAAACGTGTATTCAATTGTGAATAAAACTAATTGAATATGAAAAAAACTATTTTCTACAGGTCGATATCTATTTCTTTAAGCAATGTTCCTCTGCTTAACCTGTCGATGTATTTATTATGTCTATGTGTTTAAATAAAACGTATGCCTACTTAACTATTTATTCTCAAAATAAACGTGTATGTTGCACAATACAAAATTAAAAATGTCATTTAAAATTGTGTATACGTCCATAGGACCAAGCATCGCCTCCCCATTCGTCCGTTGCTGATGTATTCATTACTGTTACTGACGTCCAAGACACACCCCCATTTTTTAGTGGCGAACCCTTCATAAAGACTATAGTTGAAGAGACACCAGTTGTAAGATCTCAACATTTTACTCCTGTCTTTTTTTAATAATACAATCCATGTTTGTTTGTTTTTTTTGTTTCGTTTTTAAATGTTAGCCTAAGTTTTAAATTTACTTGTATCAGCGGTTTCCAAATGTTTCCCAAAGTGTTTATTAAAAGACATTTTAAAAAATTAAAAAATAATAGTATAATAATAGAGCTTATTGTAAAATCAATACAATGCCGCTTTACCTAGCCAAGAGATTGTAGTGAGACTTACTATAAGCCTAAATAGACGCACATTCTGGTCCTTCAATGTGACAAAGACTACATTACATAACCCATTTAGATATAATTTTGATATTTTAAACTCTGCATTTCAAATGTATAAGTCCACCTACATAAAAGTGAAAAACCGATTGCAAAAATCACCTAATTCAAGCACTGTGTTGATCTACTGATGCTAGCTTTAACTCAAACAAATACCAACGTTGGGTTATCACTATCATCATGTCACTCTACGTGGACGTCTAAACGACGGGAGCCACACTGTATAATAAACAAATTTTGACTTTTCTTTTTCTAACGATTTTTTCACAGCCGACCAGCATTTTTACCGTGAAGGCAGAAGATGGGGACAAAAGCATACCAAACTCTATCAGCTATTTGCTTCTGAAAGGTACACAGACGTTTATGAACAACTTTATAATTGTAGTATTCGGAGGATAGCACCATTTGACACAATTTAAGAACATAATAATGTTTAATCCTGCTTTTAAAAAAGTGTGATGATAAGGGTAGGGGTGATGCCAAAGCAAAAATACAAAACTATTTTGGAGGAAAGTGGGGTGACACCGTGAATTTTGGTACCAGTTGTCTCTCAACTTTGTAACGTCACTGAAGAAAGTCGTGACTCAGGCCACTTCAACCAACTAAAAAATGTTTGGGGTCTTCAACACATTAGTAAAACATGTTTTACTCTATGCAGATGAGAATGGAGGATAACTGCCACAAAGAAGAAAACACAATCATTTATAAACTCATGCCTCAGAAAGATCTTTCGAATTCGTTAGCCTAAAACCATTAGAAATTAGTTACTATGGCAACGGACAGATCAACTGCCAGCTGAAGAAGAGATCCTCCAGAGAAAATGGAAATGGATTGGCCACACACTCAGGAAGCCTGTGTCCGGCACAACAAGACAGTAGGAGGAGAGGCAGACCAAGAAAGACCTGCAGACGTGACTTGGAAGAAGATACCAAGAAGATTGGATACACATGAGGACTGTTGGAGAGACTAGCCCAGGACAGAGATGCCTGTAAAGCGCTTGTCAACGGCCTATGTCTCTGGTGGGGTGACAGGCAAACCTAATCTAACCTTAGTTAAGTCAGCATCAATGTTTGATGTTCCGAATGTAGCAGACAGATAGAAAGAAATATTGGCCCGGTACTCTCGTTGATAGTTGATGATCTTTAGAAACGTTGACACCAGTAATGTTTATACATTCAACTATTCAGACAGGTTCGAAAACGGATAACTTAAATAAATACAATAAAAAGTATTGAAAGTGTTTAAGGGGGGCAAAAACATTTGAGACCTTTCTTGAAGAACATCTGGCTAAGTCTGTATGTTAAAAGTATCAACAAAGGCGTCAAAATGGCTGTCGGCTAAGTCTTTATGTTAAAAGTATATAACAAAGGCGTCAAAATGGCTGCCTGAATGTGCCCAATTAGGAGGACATAATCGTGGGGATTCATGGAGTTTACAGCTAGCTATTCAGAGGAGTCAGTTCTGCTCTGGTTTTCTCAATAAAACAAAATTAACTTGCAATAGTTTAATCACAATGTTACACTTTGTATAAAGAATTGCACATTCTTATCATACGTTGTATGTAGCGCAAAAACATATAACAATAACACGTTTCGTTTTTATTTGAACAATAGCTGTGCATAAAATCATTTGTTTCTCACAGAAACCTGTCCAGGAATGTTTCACATCGACAGCCACACAGGTGACATCAGTGTAAAGAGCAGGGTGGATCGAGACACTGGGGCTGTCTGGAACAATTCTGGAATCTGTGTTCTGACAATCTTGGTATGGCTAGATTTCTCTCAACTTATAAATATTATGTATTATTAATTCAAGTGAGGGTGGGGTGTCAGACAATACTATACACACAGTGTTACTTCCAGACTTTTTTCTCCGGGGAGGGGGGGGGGGCACTTGATATTTTCGGGGGGGGGGCGGTCAATATTTTTCGGGGGGGATGGGGGCGGACACCAGTCAAAGTGTATGTTTACTATATAAATTCCATCTCGTTCGGGGGGGGGTAGACTTTCTTCGGGGGGGGGGGGGGGGGGGGCTCCAGATGCCTGGAAGAAACTCTGTATACACAACGTGATAACGGAAATTACACACCCATTAAAAATGTTGATGTAACACAGTGGATTAGTAGTGGAGCATCCAAAAATTTCGAATAGATTTTTTATCGAGTTCACAGCTTTGATAGTTATCTAGATCTAGCTTGCTTTTGAGAGTGGACGATCGTTTGTATGTAGCCTACCAATGTCAATGAAACACATTAACTATACTTCATCTGCTATGTGAGACTTTTCCGAAACGGTCCTTTTCGTTTTACATTCAAAGTTTATTATATTATACTTTTATTCAGGTTTTTATCCGAGACGTTTTTGCCTTAAAAATCTGTGTCAAATCAATTTATTCTTAAGACATTTTGTCCTGAATTATTTTATTCCTTGGATATTTAGTCTAAACAATGTTTATCGATAAGTTATTTTGATAGGAGGCACCACCAACACCAAACATATAGTTTAATTGATGTATATCCGAGTGTAGGCAACAGAAGGCAACGAACACCCTCAGGAGCCAAACAGCGTCTCCACGGCCACCACTACGGTGACCATCACTGTAGACGACAAGAACGACAACCCGCCCGAGTTCTCCAGCTCCACGTATGAAGCTACTCTGGATGAAAATGCACCAGTTGGAATGTCCATCAGCTTACACACATCCATTCGGGTCACTGATATAGACCAGGTCATTTAGAATGCCGTGTTCCTTGTTGTTGTTGTTTTTTTTTTTATTCCTAGGACAAAATATGTCGAAATTGCAGGGTTCATAAAAAAACGAGGTTAAAGCTGTGTAAATCAACAGTTTGGTGCAAACGAAGGCTGGGGTATTTATATAAATGAACACTTGGTTTTCGTTTACTTCCCCTTGTGTTACAACGTAACAGTGTAAATAGGAAATTAATACTACAGGGTTGGTGACTTGGACGTGTATAAAGACTTGGAAGTGGGCAAAGGGATCAAACGTGGACAAGGATTTTTAGATATGGACATGGCCATGAGGATATAATTAAATATTGATATGATCTTAGCGCTCTAAACATAGAAATAAACTTAGAGGTGTATAAAAGTATAAGGACATTGACGTGGAGATATAGACACGGGCATGGATATAGTTATGGTCATTGACATGGAGCTATAAACATAGACATGAATATAGCAGAGGCGTAGCGACCCTTCACTGCGCCCGGGGACAAACTTTAAATTTGCCCCCCCCCCCCTCCCCCCATTTCCCTCAATATGTTTTTATATTTATAATGCAAAACTTCAGCTAAAAGGATCTTTTAATTTTTTTCCCAACCCCATTTTGGCGCCCCCTAGGGTCGGCACCCGGGGACATATGTACCCCCCCCCCCCGCTACGCCTCTGGAATATAGAAATGGTCATGGATATGAGCATATTTGTCTAAATCGTTATAGTTATGGAGTTGTTGCTTTAACTAGAATTTTTACTTCCAATTTATTTAATTTGTGAAAGTTATGCTTTCAGGGCGAACATGCATCAATCCAACTGCGAGTCACCAGTCCAGCGAATGTTTACGATGTGAGCCCAGCCACTGTCCAAGGCTCTGGTGAAGTGCTCATACGGGTTGTTAACTCAACTTACCACGATTATGAGACTAGATCCACAATTACCATTGAGGTAATATTTTAATTCAGATAACATCCTCGTCGTTTTCACATAGTAAGGGTACTCTTCCACTTGGTGAATTTGGGGCGAGAGAGCAAACCGAAAAACTGCAAAATTGCCAGGTTGTCTAAACATAACATGAAGCCAGAGGCGTAGCGATGGGGGGGGGGGGGCTGGGGGTACATATGTCCCCGGGCGCCGACCTTAGGGGGCGCCAACAGGGGTCGTAAAAACAAATATAAATGTTATTTTAGCTGCATTTTTTGCAGTTTGAGGGTGGGGGTGCAAATTGAAAAGTTGAGGTGGGTGCAAATCGAAAGTTTGCTCCCGAGGAGGGCGCCAAATTGAAAGTTTGTCCCCGGGCGCCGGCAAGGGTCGCTACGTCTCTGCATGACGCTAGACATTGTAACTCAAGTTTATACTTGAGCTAAGACAACCGAACATTGTTTTTTTTTTTACAGAAATTACGTTTGCTAATGTTTTTATTTGCATTTATTTTTCTATTTTATTTGTATTTATTTGTAGTTAGAAGCATCCCAGATTGGTATCACTCAAACCGCGAAAGCGGTGATAACTCTAAAGTTGAATAACCTGAACGATAACAGCCCGGTGTTCACCAGCCATACACTCACTGGAAATATATCTGAGGCAGCTCAACCAAATACCTCTATCATGGACATCAAGGTTTGAAAAGCGAGGGTTTTTTAACCACTAGTTTACATCATGTGTGTAGTATTGTGGGACAAAAATACTTAAATATCGTACACACGGTTTAGTTTGAAAGAACACTTTTAAGCATAACAATAGACATCACAAAGAAAGATGAAGTATAATTCATATGTTTATGCAACATCTGCCCTGTTTCCAGCCACTTTTGGCTTGAATTGTAGATATGCAATGCCATGGCGTTGGTCTAGGGTGGACTAACGATTGTCGCAAAGACTTTACTTCGGCATCCTAGCAGTCAGTCGAGCGCTCTTAAGCAGTGTTTCTTTCAGACTTTTTTCTCCGGATGCCCCCCCCCCCCCTGAAAAGATGTTCGGAAGAAAGCAAATGTATCATATCTACTCCTTGCTGTTTGTTGATGCTCTTTCGTGTTTATTGATGTTAACTTAATTATGTTAATATGCTGATAAAAAGCATATAGGTAATACGCTGCTAACAATGTATATACAGACTAAGCTTGCTTTATAATGGAATCTTTACCTGTTACCAAAATGTGACACAATGTTGCTGTGACTTTACTGATATGAGGGCCATATATTTTAATGTAAATGTATTGACGATCTAGGCAAACGATGCAGATTCAAATGACGATGGAAAAAATTATGGAACTGTGATGTATTCTTTGGAAAACCCAGATCCAAGGCAAGAATGTGATATTTGGAAGATTTGTTAACAACAAATTGTTGGTAGCTTTAAATTACACTACTTTTATACACACAATGTGTTCCGTGGATTTTTTGTGGTGCTGTATGGATAATTTTAAAATGAACTCAGATTTAAGTATTAAATTTAGAAGGTCTAGATTTTTAAAATGTATTTTATTTTCATTTATTTTATTTTTTATTGATTTTCTAGCTTTGAAATTGACAAAATCACTGGCCAATTGACAGTGGCTAGTGCAGCAAAACTCAACCGGGAGGCTAAAGACAGTTATTATTTAACAGTTGTTGCCACTGATGGTGGAAATCTTAAGGTAAATTTAACATAGATCTACATCTAGAATACCAAACAAAGAAAATAAATATTAAAACGATCTAGATTCGAAATCTAGTAGATCTAGTATTACAGCATTAGTTTTAAGTTCAAGCCTAGATCTATATTCTAAATAACTTTTAACTGGCCAGATAAATAGATCAAGATTTAGTTTTTTGATGACACTTGGTTTGAAATTTATTCTAGATCTAGATTCTAGATCTAATTTAAACAGAAAAATCATGACATCCGAATAGGCACAGCCAGCTTTAATAGGAAAAAGAAGTATTAGCTGACGCCTAATGAACATGTTTTCAGTTATTTATTCACTACTCGAGTCTAAATCTTTACAAAATAACTCCATGCTGTGAAAAGATTCAAGAATAATATTATTTATTATTATGGGTTGACCATAAAAGTGAAGTCACTCCTTTGCCTTGGGATAGTTGTCCTGGTGTGACAAAGGCCAGATCAGAGGATGCAAAGTCTGGTTTTTACTTTTGTTATCTGAATTGTATCAGATATTTTGCATTTTAACCCTTGAACCCTGGGCTCCTCAACCTGAAATCCCCATGCCCCTGAGCTCCTAAGTTAAATGTTCACACACACAACACTACAGACTCTATTAAAAAATAAAAAACCAAAAATAAGGCGGGCTTATATAATATATATTAACAAAATAAATTTTATTACTTCAATTAACATTTGTACATGAATTATCGCCAATATTTAAACTTAGTAATCCGGTCATCCATGTAGGCAGACCCTTCTATTAGACATAGGTAGATGTAGACAAGGTAGAATGCCGGTTTTGGGAATTTTAAAATCCATCTTTCCATCATTAATTGTAAATGATAAACACAACAAAAATTTGGTTCATGGGCGCAGCCATGACAGAAACTTACGAGTTGAATAATACCAGTTACGTACTTTTTTAATATATCATTTTTATGTATATACTGCGGATCTGGGATAAGGTGTCTAATACCACTTTATCTGTATCCTGGGCATGGATATTTAAGACTCAGACCAGTAAAGCGTGTTCAAAGGGTTAAAAGACTTTTTTTGTAAATTGTGATTGTTGATCAAGAGTTCTATGAATATCTCATCATGACTCAACTAATTAGGCCTTATTTTTAAAAGGGTTGGGGAGAGGTATGCTGATGTGTGATGTTATAGGGGATGGAGGGGTTCTGATGTGGGAAAGGAGGGGTAGTAAAATTGTATAAAAGGTCGTATTTAATATATAGACAACCCCCGTGTTGTTTGGGAAAATGTTTGTAAGAGAAATTTTATAATGCTACCTTGAATTTTCCTCAATGAGACATATTCTTATATTGACCAAGTTACTGCTCCTTTGCATTGCTTAGATAAATGAGTTTACACAACTGTCAATACATGCTTTTTCTTTTAACACAATCTGTATAAGCCTTACTAAATTACTTGAATCTGTTATTAGTAAATCTGTATATATCACTGTGAAAATTTATTATAAACTTAATGTATTGTATAAATTTTAATTACATGCAGTAATAAAAAACAAAGCTTTGTAGTTTTGAATAAAAATGCATTGGAGCAATCAATAGAGAAATAAAATATGAATATGTCACCATCATTGGGCTTTTAAGTAATGTTATGGATTAACGGTATGAGCTTAAGCATATAGTTTTACCTGCTCTTCTACAGACATTCTTATACTGCTAGATATTTAGTTAAAACTATCTTAACTCTACTAGTTATTTATATTTATACCTTATTAAATATTATTATTATCCCAGGTGACTACTCAGTTGAACATAAAAATCTCGGATGAAAATGATGAGGTCCCTGAGTTCACTTCAGATAGTTACCAAACAACACTGGAGGAGCTAAAAACAGAATTTGGTCATAATATTAAAGTACAAGTATGTTATTGTCATTTTCTTATAAACAGTTATAATTATGAGTTCATAATTCTTTATTAGTAGCAGTCACTAAGTTTGATCCAGAGGCAGAGATAGAGCATTAAAGTTGAAAGTAAATCCAAGTAGGTGTATTATTTTTTTTTATGTATTTTTTTTAATGTATAGTGTTTTGGTTGCTCTTGATTGGTATGTTATAGAGATTTGCCATACTGTTAATTTTAAGTTACTAATACATTTTTTCATTAGGCAAATGATGCTGATGAACCTAACACTTTGAACTCTAAGATCACCTACAGTCTTGTATCCACTTCTCCCTCTTCATTGGAGTCTTACTTCAGGTTACCTAATTTTGTCATCGTTCAGTATGCAAGATGTCAGCCAGTTTTGTAAGGGACTGTATTAGCCATACAACCTATAAATTTGAGCAAGATTTCGGTTAAACAATCTTTATTTTCCCTACAAGCAATATGTATGGCTAATGTACAAGTTAGTAAAGATTCCTCTTTAGACCTAGAGATCCATTGAGCAGATGAAGTAGAATTTTTATTTTTCTTGACCTCGGCATATGAAAGGGTAGTGTGGCCAGCACTATGCCCAGCCGTCTTAACTTCCCCAAACATAAGTCAGATACCTATCAGAGCAGGGTGGACTTGGGGACAACCTAGAGTCACAAATCAAAGCGAGATCTGAATTCCAGACCTTCAGGCTAGCAGCCAAATGCTCTTCCATTCAACCATGCCGTCTCATGTACAATAGCCTACTTTTATTTTAGGAATAACAAAAATTAAAGAAAAATTAATATTTTACCTGGATAGCTCACTCTTGGTATTTTTTTAATAGGTTGGATCCAGATAATGGCAGTCTTACAGTAGCTAAACCTTTGGCTTATGAAGATATTCATGACCCAGGATTCACAGGGACCATTTCACTTTTAGTGAATGCAACAGACAATGGTGTGCCCCCGTTATCTTCAACAGTTAGTGTGGCTATCTTTTTACAGGTATGTAATTATAATTCCTACATTCTATGTTTTACACTTTGTTTTACACTTTATTTTCAGCCAATGGCATGTTTGCCAAATAGGATTATCTAATTTGTAAAAGAAAAAGTGTTTTTTTCTTTTCATTTAAGTACTACTTTCACAAACCATAAGGGTTTTAAAATTTTAAAATCCATTTTAACTAAACCATGTGTTTTAAATTTTTCAGGACATCAACAACCATGCTCCTACATGCAGACAAACTATGTACTCAAACAGTGTGAAAGAAAATCTTCCAATTGGTAAAATAAACTTTCCTTTTCTTTTTTTAGTCTATTTCTTACCACTATCTTAGTCTAACACTACTCCGCTTGGGAGTTTAGCTGTAGAGCTACTTTAAGCATTCTGCAGAGAAAAATACTTAAAATTGCATTTAAAAAATCCATGTTTAGGTTTTTTTATTTATTTTCAGTCTAATAAAAATTTATTTTTCAAAAACTTTTTATTCTTACAGAATCTCTTATTCTTCAAGTTGATGCAAATGATGCAGATGGCACTGCACCTAATAACCTTTTCATATACAGCATTGATCAAAAGAATTCCGAGAAATTTATCATCGATAGCACTTCAGGCAACATAACACTTCGCAGTAATTTGGACAGAGAAACTGCTGATCACTATAACATCACTGTCACAGTCACAGACCTGGGTACCCCATCAAGAAGCAGCTCATGCAGTGTTTATTTAACTGTACTTGATATAAATGATACACCACCAACATTCTCTAATGTATGTATTCTTTACTTTGATGATGTAACATGTTAAAAGCTTAACAAACTAATTGTATAATACTACCATTTTAAAATTAAATCCTTAAAAATGGTTTTACTTTGTAGTAAAATGAAAAATGCTTTAACTTTTTATTTCTTTGGCAAAATTGAATTCATCACTGCTATGTATTTAAGGTAAACACAATATCCATTTGCTTTATGAAATTAATATTGCACTTTTAAATATATGATAAAAATAACAATATGCTACTGCTACAATATTTTACAGGCATCTCAAACATTACACTTCTCTGAAAATATACTTGGGCTAGAAATTTTAAATGAGGCACAAGATAAAGATCAGGACAAAAATCTCAGCTATCAAATAGACTGGACACAAAGCACAGCCAAAAATCCATCTGGTCAACAAACCAACATGAGTCACTTACAGGTGAGATTATACTTTTTTGTTCTATGTTACAAATTTTTTTAAACTTAATTATTAAATACAACATTTTCTAAAAGTAGATTTCTCGATAATCATCATCATTTGTCACGTCCATTCCTGAGGCACATGGGCAGGTGAAGTAGTGTTCTTCTGTTCCAATGTCCTCGAAGCGATAGTGTGGTCAGTACTGCACTATGCCCAGCTGCCTTGGTTTCCCTAATGTGAGTTAGGTACCAATGGATGGACTTTAGAATGTGCTATAGATTTTAACATGGCATTCAAACTCAAGATTTTCAGGTTTTCAGCTGTAAGCTTTACCATCTGCCCACACTGCCTCTTTTCTAGATAATACACACAATATTAAAATTGTCCATGCTAGTGTTGCTTTTAGTCATGTGTTAGTCATATTTTAAAATGTTGATTTCTTGATTACAATTGTCTTTTATCTCCCAGAACTGCTTAAAAATCAATAATAGAGATGGTAAAATAACAAACACTCAGCCCTTGGACAGAGAAATAGTTCAAGAATTCACATTAAAGATCATAGTTACAGATGAGAAGTCTGATACAGGACTTCAACAAGATGTTGGTAAGATAATAAGCTCACAGGCAGTCATTGTTTAGCATACATCATCAAGCATGCTATTACATTCAAGCAATAGACAATGGCATATTTATTAAATTAAAATGACTCAAACAACTTAAAATTGCCTCTGGCTAATGAAGTTACCAAAAGCTAATGGATAAGCTTGAATGTGACTTTTCTAAACTACTATGTCTATCAAGAACAGCTTTGTTCAATGATAAGTTCTACACTTAGAAAATCTGTAATAGTTTACATTTTTAGTTTTTTATTTTAAAAAAATTTCTATTTGGAGTACTAACTTTTTGTAATTAGACCAAACACTAATAGTAGAAATATTTCCAAAACAAAAGCTGTGTTAGGCTTAAAACTGTGTTGGGGACGTTTATTGTTGTGTTTGATGAGTTATTATTATAGATTAATGACTGCCTGGTACAACTTTTTGTAGAAATACTCAGTAAATCAGTAGTTATTTCATACAAAAATTCTTAAATTATTTAATCAATTTAAAATAGATCATTTTTTAAATTCATCATATGACCTTTAATAAATCTTTATAAATATAGTAGTATTTATTTTTTATCAGGCCATTGAAGAGGTAGATAAAAACTTAAGTTGTTTTCTATAACCTTTAACCTCTTATAAACGTTAGCTGATTGGAGACATAACAGAATAATTATTTCACAACACTTTCTTTTATTCATAAGTGTAAATTATATCTCCCTTTGTTTAGCCTCAGTTACAGTGTATGTGGATGATGTGAATGATAATAAACCCACATTCAGTAGCTCCCAGCAGTACCAAACAAAAGTACAAGAGAACATGCCAGTTGGCACTGAGATACAATTCACAGGATCAACTTTAGTTGTTGAAGATTCTGATCAGGTGGGCTCATTTTGGATTTTTAAAATTCAATACCAGTATCTCCATCCATCATCTCTGTTACCTTACAGCCACTGTAACCAATTTTTATCCTTAAGAGTTGTTGAGAAAAGCAAGGATTATTAAAACATGTTTTTTTATACCATTCTATTCATAAAGAACATTCAGTAGTGTTTGTATTTATAAGCTTTTTCTTTTTTTTTTTGGTGTCTAAGTCAATTAGTTCTCTTTTAAATAAGACAATAAAGCACTAATTTTTCTCAATGACACTTAAGTTATTGTAAACTTCTAATTTAATCCTGTCATTTTTCAACAGGGAAACAACAGCAGCTTTGTTGTATCACTTATGAATTACTCTGAATATTTTACTGTGGAACCACCTGGAGGAAATGGCAGACAAATCTTTTCTATTGTTGTGACCAATTCTTCCATTTTAGACTTTGAAGTTACAGAAACTTTACAAATTGTGGTATGATAGTAGCTTTGTTAATGACATTTTTCATATTGAAGTACTTAATGATTACATTGCTATTATAAAATGTTCTCCAAATGTTCCAGTTAATAGCTGAAGAGACAAAAACTACAGAGAAATTCTCAAATACGGCAACTGTTACTGTGAGTATAGAAAACAAAAATGACAACATGCCAGATTTTGTCGATGCACCATTTAATGCCCCTGTGAAAGAAGAATCCCCACCAGGAACATCTGTCTATGTAGTGAAGGTCAGTGCTTAGTCAAAGTATTTGGTAATATGTGTTAAATTTAAAACAGTCCAGTTGTGAATTTAAAAATTAGCATTTCTACACTGGACAAACTAACCTCCATCTGAGAAATGCTTAGCTCCAATTGTGTTCTGGAACTTTTTTGATACATATACATAATTTTATTTATAATTGAATCATAATATTGGCTAAAATATACAATTATGCCATTACTTATTTCAATGTGTTTTGTCAGTAATTTATGTTGTTTTATATTTAGTTTCTCTTTGTTTATAGGCTGTAGATAACGATTTAGGTGAATTTGGCATTGTATATTACTCCCTTCCTGAACAACCTAAGGAGTAAGTTGAATTCTATGTACTTTATAAACTTTTTCACTGAGAGTATCTTGGATATGTATGCTGAGTTCAATTCTTTCTTCAGGTTTGTAATAAACAGAACAACAGGGGAAGTCACTCTCAGTGCAACTTTAAGCAGAGAGCAGCAAGCATCATACACACTCAAAGTTCGTGTGGAGGATGTTGGGCACTTTGGCTCTACCACTCAGCTGACAGTCAATTTATTGGATATCAACAACCAAAGTCCTAACTTTACAAAGCAGATTTACAATGCCACTATTCCAGAAAACCAGAAGTTCTTCATGCCACCATTAGTAATTCAGGTAAAATAAAAAATATTTTATGTAACATTTAATCCAAACTGTTTTTCTTTTATATGGGTTCAACTTACCTGAGCAATACTCTAGGCAGATTAATAGATTTCAGCCAGGCTTGTACTTCCTCTCCTGATGCAAGGACCACCTGCTTTGGTATATGGGGGGGGGGGGGGGAGCTTAATCTAGGTGTGAATACTATCTCACCCCAAGGTATCAAAACTTGTGTCTTTCAGTAAATTACTGTAATTAACTACAGGAAATTGTTTTGTTTTTATAAACTAAATCTCAGTAAATAGTGGAAGATATACATTTAAAATTAAAATATTGGCGGATTTAGATGTTTTATATATACTTTTAAAGCATCATCTTTTCCTGTTCGTGCCCAAGACAGAGATCTTGGCATATGAAGGGATAGTGTGGTCAGTGCTGTACCCAGCCACCTAACATGAGTTAGGTACCCATCAGAGCTGGGTGTACTCAGGGACTGTCTACTGACTTGAACCCGGATTTGAACTCAAGACTTTTGGGTTAGAAGTCTAGCTCTCTACCACTAGGCCACCCCGTCCCATAAACTTTTAAATACCAACTTATTATTGTATTATCTTTCTGATTCTAGGCATTTGATGGTGATGAACCTGGAAATAAAAACAGTGAGATTAAATACAGTATATCCAGCATATCAAAAAACCTGGAACAATATTTTAATATCAACCCTACATCTGGTGAAATAGTTTTAAACAAAGGTTTGGACTATGAGTCCCTGGATAAAAGTTTACATGGAGTGATTGAGTTTTATGTTAGTGCCACAGACCAGAGCCCACCTTACCATTCTGTATCTGCCACTGTTCAAGTTACAGTCCTAGATGTCAATGATGAAGTTCCATCCTTCAGTCAGTCTAGTTTCGACATTAACTTACCTGAAAATATGACTCATGGTAAGGACCAAATACTTTTATAATACTGGTTTAATGTTCCAGAGAACCAATTATTTATAATTGTTTTAAACATGTATTAGTAAAGACAATCAGTGAAAGTTCTACAATTAAATCTAAAATTTGATAAAATTATTTAGTGGGCTTTTTAGTCTTATGCTTTTTTATATATGTCCTTTAGTATAATAAACTAACATTGTCTTAATATAGGAAGTCAGGTTTTTCAAAGTGTGGCAACTGATGCAGATGCCAGTGCACCAAATAACAAATTGAGCTATAGCATAGATACACTCAGTGCTTCCACATTCTCAATCGATGATAGTACTGGAATCATAACATTGAGTCGTTCACTGGACCGTGAACAAACTGATCATTACAAAATAATTGTAACTGCATCAGACAATGGTAATCCAGTCTTGACCAATACAACTGTCATCAACATCACTGTTACTGATGTGAATGATGAGAAACCTAAATTTCAAATAGTAAGCTTTTTAATGTAATTTTTTTTGTTTTTCATTTGTTTTTATTCTTTTCTTTTTTGCTAAATAATTTTTTGTATGATTTACATTATTCTTTCAAAAAGTTGCTTGGTTCTGTTTTCTTCATGTTTTTAATGGCATGTCTAACAATTTAAGATATGTAAATTTTTCAATGTGTAGAAGCAGATGTTACAAGTTACACAAGAGAATGTGAATTTCACATACAGCTGTACAGCTGATGACCCAGATTCAAATTCTGATTTAACATATACCATAATATGGAATAACTCATTTGGTCTCAATGGCGAAGGATCTAGAATAAATGAAACTTACCTCAAGGTTACAAAATAAATTTTAAATAATTTGAGCTATTAATAAAAGTAATGTTATCCAGAGACTAAGTCATGCTAGTTCTAGTTTTTAATTTTATACATTTTTTAAAAATTCATTTTCTTATAATTATTTTTTCAAAATCATTAAAATTATATAGAAATGGAATATTTTGATATGATAAAATATTATTACAATTTAATTGAATGTATTTTAATTGAAGATTTATTGGTGAGCTCTTTAAGCATGAGAAATTTTCATAATACATCAAGCTATATTTTGAAATACAGGAATGGATAACAATCCCACAGCCAAAGAAATGTGAAATAGTATCATTAAAACCTTTTGACAGAGAAGCCATTTCACAGCTCAACCTTGAAATACAAGTATTGGATAAAAATGGTGCTGTGAATACTCCTCAGACAGACACTGGTACAATCTTGTTTTTACAAAAATAATAACCTGAATAAAGTAATAGTTTCCTTTTGTTAACATAAGATAGTGTTTTATTGCACTGAATTATCATTAAAACATTAAAAATCAGTTAAATTTTTTTTTTGTGTTAATATATTTTACTTCAATTTCCGATTTTTTAAATTTATTTTAATAAGCAAAGTGATTATCATTTGTATTTGTGATATTATTTTTTTCTCCAATTCAAAGTTAATTTTTACTTGTTATAAATAAGAAATAAATATTTAACCAGCGTTTTCTTATTTGTACTTGCATTAAATAAAAAGTTTTATTATTTAGCAAACATTGTGGTAAGCATCACAGACACAAATGACAACCCACCTGTGTTTATTGGATGTAACTCCTACTCTGCTTCTATAAGGGAGAACATGCCAGCAAACAGTGATGTTAAATTTAATGGTCAAGCTTTGGAAGTTGTTGATGATGATATGGTATGTCATTTCCATGTATGGTTGTCTACAAAAGACAGGCTCGCCTATTGGATAGCATTAATTACTAGCCATCCTTTGAGCTAATTGAGTGATGTACTTTAATAGTTTTAAGCGATTATGAATGTGTATATGTAGATTTATTTACTAATAAAATATAGGTTCTATAATTTTCATTCATCTGAGTTATAGTTTTTTAAATATTTACATTTTCGTGTCTAATAGACACTATTGTAGTTAATTACAAGTGTAGAAACACTTTAAATTCACTTTAACGGTCCTCATGCAATTTTTCAGTTGCTAGCTTTAAGAAATAAAGGCCTAAAATTTTAAATATATTTGGCCCTACTGAAGTACAGTGACACTTGTTTAGCTATTAGATTACAACTTTACAACTAAACACAGAAATTAATTAGTTACTGATAACAAAGAAAATACATCTTAAAAAATATTTTCTTTATTAACTCATCATTATGAATTGAACAGCTCTAATGTATTTGGACTTACTCCCCAGGGGGAAAATAGTGGCTTTAAAGTTGTATTGCTGAGTCACAATCACACCTTCAAAATTGATCCTCCACAAGGAACCTCTCGGCAAACTTTTTCTATTTTAGTTCAAGACCCTCAAGCTCTGGATTTTGAAACAAATGAAAACTTCACCATTGAAGTGAGAAAACTTGTGATCTGCCTTAGGCTACACTGATTTTTTAAAAATGTGTTTGAGACTTGCATTACTAAATACTAATCACTAGTTAAAAAAAAACCATCATAGCTGTACTTGGAAACAAATTAGCTACTTGTCTATTAGCTGGACAACTGTATCTAAATAGCTGATTTTGCCTTTATTGGTAAAATAATTCAGCTTTAGTTATTTTTCTACAAAAGAAATAGAGAACATACAGTATTTTTGTAATTCCTTTTTAATGCAAAAGTACAAAAGAGTAATTACTGTAAATACAGAATGGGCTTATTGGGGTACTAGACCACACCTCTATCTTGGCTTCTAATTGTCTTGCCCTATACATTAGTTGAGATGTTTAACCACTTTGTCTGAACAGCTGCTTCCATTTCTTCCTATCCTAAACCTACTATATTAGCAGTGTTAATGCTGTTTGGACTGATATATGAACTATCTAATTAGATGCCTGTCTGAATATTATAAAATTTTAATTCTGACCAATGTGTACCATTCTTTTTCAGGTTCTTGCTGAAGGGTCAATGTCAGACAGCACCCATAGCACCACCTGTAAATTTGTCATTCAAGTAATCAATGAGAATGACAACATCCCTGAATTTATTAATGGACCTTATGTACGTCAGATTCCAGAGAACTCACCCCCATTCCAGTATGATTTTTCAATACAAGTAAGTTATTTTAATCCTTAGATTCTGATTTACCTGTTACATATTGTATGACCTGCTAACATAATATGTGACACTCTTTTGACTTAGAGCTAAAAGCTTGAGGATGTGATCTATGATTTTGAATTTGCAATTTAAATTATTTTGAATTATGTATTTCATACAACTGAATGGCTGGCTTTGAGTCAAAGGTAATAAATTAGTGGCAAGAAAAACTGATCATAATGGCATGTTAAAAATACTCTGGCCAGACAAAATGTCAAGTTTGTGGTTAGGGAAAAATGTAGGTAATCATTATTTAGAGGTTGGGTGTATATGTTACAAACTTAGAAAGCAGATAATAGCACTACTAAATGGGTTGGAGTGGAATCCCCAAGAAATGTCTTGGAGGAGATCTTTTAAGAAAGAGATTGAAATGGGGTAAACTAGCTGATCATTGCTGGAAAATAAATAGCCACCAATCAAGTTCTTTAGTGAGTTATCGTCTTGGTTAAAAGGAATAGGAAGTGTTACACTTGTATTTCTTTAAAATTCAAAATTCAAATTACATAAATTGTCCTTTGCAAGAAGCAAATATACTTGGTATAAAGATGCCAGATAGTAAACTCAACATTTTTCAGAATCTCAGTTTATAGTAAAACAGTAAACCTAGAACAATAAAACTCATTATGCATTGATTATTGGACAGATTCCTTAACAGTTTTACCATTGAAATCAGTTTAAAAATACATTAAAACATGGAAAATCTGAAACTTATTGGTAGCAGTTCAGCAATTCAAACTTTCGTGGAGGGTTACAGAGTAAAAAAAAAATAAACAGTTTTACTAGTTAGTAAAATATAAGTTTTTGAATTTGCAGTAAGCAACAAGAAGTTAACTAATCTATTACAACATTAGTTATAAATGTATGTTTAGTGATGTATGCATTACAATAGTGAAATTGAAACCTTTTATTTTAAAAATATTTCTAGGACAAAACTAGTTATGCATACAACCCTTAATAAAACATTTACATTTAATTTAGATCATATATGATATGGTTGTGTACATTTTTTTAAATGACATGCTATATAAACATTGATATACCCTTTATGAAAGGCCGTGGACAAGGACAAGGGAGAATTTGGTGTTGTGAGGTATGAGATGAAGGATGTCTCTGGGAAGTAAGTTTTCTTGTTTCATTTCTCTTAGAACTTTTAGTGTATACAACAATGTTACTTGATAAATGTACAGTGTGAGGGTGGGGAAAAGCAGCACCACCACCAAATGTGAGAGTGGGGGTGATGAAGATGATGAGAAGATCCAACACAAAGTCCAAGTCAAAATATAATGATCTTTATTAAAATCTACACAATCAACTTCCTACCTAACTAATCTATACTGTACTACTTCTATCTAACTGTTCCCTAGCTCTACATATCTCCGACCGTCTCTTCCACACTATCTACCTCTAATTTTCTACCTAACTCTGACCGTTCTCTTCGCTAACTATCTATTTCGGCCGCTGATCTAGCTACTGACCCACACTTCGGTGGTCAGCTGACCGTCCCACGTGACCGGTCAGCTCCTGGATTTCCATTGGTCTGTTTAGCTAACTAAGCTATAGCCTGTTTCTACCATCTACCCTGAACTAGTGTCCTCACATACAGGTTTTTTTTTAGATATTCAGATATTGATCCAAAATGTGTTTTAAGACATTTGTTTCCCATGTTCCAGCTGGAGCTTTCCTGTTGCCACATATAATTTTGTGCAGGCAGTGTCATTTTTTAGATTGCATTTTAAATTGTTTCTAATTATATATTTCATTTAACGGTCGGTAAAACTTATGGTTGCTTAACCAAAGAGTTTCATGTTCAGAACCACTGGGTAGATAAGCCTTGAGAGCTGGGGACAGCAACTCATCTTGGAGAGACAACTCCAAAATCAAACAACTGTTGCATTGTAGATCTTGGTTTGACAAAGGCTATGGAAGCAAATCAAGAAAGAATAGCAGGCTGAAATAGAGTAAACTGCCATATAATACTTAACCCTTAAAGCGTGCGCCACGTGGGCTTACGCGTTATAAGTTATGTAACAGCAAAGCCACGATTGTGGCTTGGTGCGCTTTCAGGGTTAAATGTGTTGGAGGAAATCCCTTCCATCAATACAATTGAGAATGAATAAGAAGAAGATATATTCACTTAAACAACGACCACTAAATAAAAAAAATATTTGCTACTGATGTGCAGTGCGTATGAACATTTCCTATTATCGCTTAATTATAATGAGTCGTAGCAGAAGAAAGTTTAAATAGTCTTTCATGTACTTTTTCTTATTAATACTGAATAATTTCATAACATGTATGTATTATATTGTATGTCTAGGTTTGGCATCAATGAAACTACAGGTTTTGTGATTTCAAAGACTGGAGATCTTGATAGAGAGTCAGTTCCCTCTTACACAGTGACAGTCACAGCAAGGGACAAAGGAAACTTCACTACCACTACACAGTTGACTATCTATGTGTCAGACATTAATGACGAGTCACCTACATTTTCCAAGAATGTGTATCAAGTGGAAATCAAAGAGGAAGAATCTCAATTTATTCCAGCTTTTTATGTTCATGTAAGTGTTAGGATTACAGTAACTGTATTATAGAAGAGTATTTAGAGTTGATTCCCTTTGCTTTTGTGTTATGGTATAAATTATAATTTTGTTGAAACTAAAAAGTAAACAAAAACAAATCTTGTTTTAAAAAGGTATCTATTATTTAACAAAATTGTAGAAGTCATATCTAAAAACACTTTTCAAATTGTAATTAGAAACTTAAATTATGGTCCATTTTTATTTCTAAAATTTACATTCTAAGGCCTCAGATGGTGATGACCCAGCTACCAACAACAGTGTGGTAGAGTACAGAATCACCCAAGATCTCAACTCTAATTTATCAGATTTCTCTATCAACGCAACAACAGGAGAGATAACTATCAATAGACCCCAGAACTATGAGAGCCTTGCAGATGGTAAAATAAACCTTACAGTGACAGCTAATGATCTGGGAGAGCCAAGTCACACATCTACTGCCATAGTGACTGTATTAATTCTGGATGTAAATGACAACTCACCTGTGTTTACTTCTAAAAATTACCCAAGTGATTTACCAGAAAACGCCACTGCTGGTGAGTAACCGTTCAAAATATTTTTTTAATCATTTGAGCTTATACTGAATAATGACAAAAATGGTAACGTATCATAATTCATATAAAAAGCATAAATAAAAATGGAAGTAACGGAGAAGGGTTATCAAAAGTTTGAATTAAAGAATTGTGAAAAAAAATTTCAGTAGTTCAATAAAGCCTTCAAGATATATATATTTATATACATGGGTTATTCAGTAAACTAAAAATAATTCCATCAGTTCTTACCATGTGATAGAGTTGTTTTTTTTTTCCAAAGGAAATAGAGTTTTGTTTTGTTTACACAATTTATATCATTAGAAACAAACATAGTTGCTGTTAAAGCATCAGATGCTGATGGCACAGAACCCAACAACCAAATTTACTACGTCATCCAATCTGGAGGGCTAGAAAAATTTCAGGTAACTTTCCAGATCTGAATCTTCTTATAATTCCAGAAAGAAAGTTTTTTGACACTACATTATTTTTAATTTAATTCTGCATACAGCTGCTCCACTTACATGTTAGGGTTAGAAGAATCTGTAAACTTTAGATTGAACTTTTCTTTTTTATAAGATTTAAAGTTACAAATTAAAAGAGCCTTTCAATAAAGGTAAGGACTAGTTTAAGGCTATATTTCAAGATGATAAAATCATACATAATGTCATATAGATATTATTTTATCAGATTCACAGAATTTTTGCTTAAATATAAAAAAAACAAGTTAAAATAATTTCATTTTTAAAAAAAACCACAGGTTAATGGTTCCAGTGGTGAGATAAGTGTCAACATTGGTGCTGTCTTTGATAGAGATGTCATGAGCAGCTACAGTTTGACTGTGCTGGCAATTGACAAGGGCAACCCTCCAAAAACAGCCACAGCAACAGTTTCCATAACTTTGACAGACGTCAACAACAAAGCCCCTGTAATTACAACAAGCAGCTTGCAGACTTCAGTATTTGAAAACTCTACAACGGGTTCTGAGGTAAAAGCATTTTTTTACTGTCAGAACTTCATTAAAAACTCCCTTAATGGCTCAAAGTTGACTTTTAGAAGTGAACTTTTTTTTTTTACTATCAGTATTGAAATACAGCAATTTTCTGAGTTATAAAAATACAAATTATTTTGTGTCCTATAATTTTTATGGTCTTTGAAATATGTTAATTGTGAAGGTCTAATCTAAGATTGTGCAATTATTTCAGGTCATTAATATTACAGCCACTGATCCAGACTTAAATCCCAAATTGAAATACAGTTTGTTGTGGAATGATTCTCATGCTTTTGATGATAAGGACAGAGAAGTAGCAATAAAAAATGTGGAGGTAAACATTCTTCAGTATATTCATATATTGTGACAGCCAATGTGGCACATTAGGCTTCTATTTATAGATTATTTTTTTAATTGTCCAGGAATGGTTTGTGATTGACAGCCAGAGTGGAAAAATAACTGTCAACTCTACATTGGACAGAGAGAAAGTACAGCAGATTACTCTCAAAGTTTTGGTGGAGGACTTGAATGCTGAGACTCCCACACCACAGTCTGCTACAGGTTTTTACTTCCTTCCCCAAAATATCTGAAGTTTTATTTTATCCTAATTACATGAGCTCCTTTATAGTAGGCTACACTTTATTATTGTAAAACTTTTTTTTTAATAATAGACTTAGATAATTATTGTGTTATGTATTTATTCTAAGTTAATTCTACTATAGTAAAAAATATGTAGGCCTTACTATAACAATAACAATTTAATTTTGTTTTTACCAGGTACTGTTACCATCACGGTGTTGGATGTTAATGATAATCCCCCACAATTCAGCATCACAAACCAAGTCCTCAATGTTTCCGAAGCTACACAGAATGGAACTGAAATAACCACATTCACAGCAACAGATCCCGACAAGGACCAGACTGTGTCATTTGCTCTAAATGAATATTCATATTTTAGCATCAGTCCAACTGGTAAACACATATTTTTTACTTGCAGTTTTGTAATGAGAAAAGGGAGGTGGTCGAGTATATAAAGCTCATTGTTGCTAAACCAAAAAGTCTCGAGTTCGAACCCTCGGGCAGATGAGGCTCGTTAGCTGGGGACAGCCACTCTTCTAGGAGAGATAATTCCAAAATCAAACAACTGCTGCCTTATAGTTTGTTCTTGGTTGGACAAAGGCTATGGAAGCAAATCAAAAAAGAACAGCAGGCTGAAATCGGAGTCAATGGCCTCAATGGCGCATAACCAGTTGACACGTATCCTTAATTGTGTTGGAGGGGGATCCCTTCCAAACACTAAAAATTAAGAACAAAGAAGAAGTAATGAGAAAAAATTATATTATCCACTATTAAAAATATTATCTTCTACTTAAAAGAGTACATTTGCTATTTTATATTTATAATCTTATTGTTTTCAAATTATTAAAGGTCAAAAGCATATTTTTTAATTGACTGGCAAGGAAATACAATTCTATGAAATAGTTTGTAAGATTATATTTTGTAAACATGCCCAAGTGTAATGGTATTGTCTTAAATCTTGAGGCAATCCTGCACATTTCTATTTCAAATACTTCTGTGAATCTTAAAACATTCTTTATTTTGTACACAGCATTAATTATTATATATTCTTGTGACAGGCACATCTATTTGTGATATTATTTATGTTCAAACCTCATTTTTGCATGTCATTTCTGTTTCCATCTTTATATACTTATGGTTAATGTGTGTGGTTGAACAGTCATTATGTTATATGTATGTTTTATGTTATATTTACATTTGTGTTATTAAATATTTTATAAGTAGGAATATTTCTTTTTACTTAGCTCATTGACTTTATTGATTTCTTGTAGCATATAATTTTAGAATATAATTCCAGCACAATCACTTTCTCTACTCAATTGAAATTTTAACTAATTATTGCAGGTAAATTAAGCTTGTCTAAAACTCTTGACAGAGAAACACAGCCCCTACTACATATCACTGTTATAGCTACCGACAATGGTTCTCCTTCAATGTCATCTTCATGTGAAATAGAAATCAATGTGCTTGACACTAATGATAATGATCCAGAGTTCAATACAACCAGTAAATCATTTAGTGTTGAGGAAAACTCCCCAAATAATACACATGTTGGGTATGTGACTGCAACAGATAAAGATGTCGGTGACAACGCAAATGTGACTTACCAGATGGAAGACTTAGTCCCGTTTCATATCAACCCTTTAACAGTAAGTCAAAACTTTTATTCTAGACATCAGATGGTAGACTTAGTTCCTTTCATATCAACCCTATAACAGTAAGTCAAAACTTTTATTTTAGACATCAGATGGTAAACTTAGTTCCTTTCATATCAACCCTATAACAGTAAGTCAAAACTTTTATTTTAGACATCAGATGGTAGACTTAGTTCCTTTCATATCAACCCTATATCAGTAAGTCAAGACTTTTATTCTAGACAGTTAGAATGTTTAATCTGGAATATATATAACTTCTATAAAGTGTGGTCAATCAGTAGAGTCCAAGGTTACTAACCTTAAAGTATCAGGTTGTCTGTAATAAATCTCCAACTCTGATAGATATCTGATTAAATCAGAGAAATTAATATGCATTGTACTTTATTTTAACTCCTCTTGTATCATGTAGACTGTAAGAGTTCTTTACTTCTGTTTAAGTAAGTTTAACTTAAGTATTGTTAAAATAAAATGAATGATTTTAAAAATAGCTTATCATGTAGACTGTAACAGTACTTTACTTGTTTATTTTTTAACTAAGTATAACTTAAGTATTGTTGAAATAAAATATTTTTAAAAAAACTAATTCAGGGGGAAATAACTGTTGCTGTTACAAGTACACTGACATTGGACAGAGAGAAAAAATCTAGCTATTCTGTTACAGTCTTTGCTATTGATAACCCCAAACTTGAACAAAGACGTCGAACTTCTCTCCTGATAGAAATTGAAATATTGGATGTCAATGATAATGCTCCTGTATTTAACTCTGCTGGTAAATACTTAAATAAAACAATACTCATGGATACTTACTGATACATCTTACATGCATACATTTTATAAGAGATACTTTTTACTGCATCAAGCAACATTCATGCAATACAGGCAATATTCAACTCAAAATAACGAATAATTTTTTATTTCTTAACTCAACAGCCTATTTTGGTAAGATCTCAGAGCTAAGCCCCAAAGAAGAAGAGTTAAAAATTACCCCTGAAGGAATAGCAGCAACTGACCAGGACATTGGGCAAAACAAGAACATCACATACTCTTTTCAGGTCAGGCAAATTTGTTGCCAGCCTAACAGAAATATTATAGTTTTATATAATTATAAATATACAGCTTTTTGCTGTAGAATAGCCTACATTTTGTCATTTAGGTAAAAAAAAAAAAAAATTTTAAATAGTGCTACTTAAGTATTTATAATTAATTGTCTGAATATATCAGTGTCTGACAATACATTTACAAGAGGTTTAGCCATAATTTAGGGACAGTGTGGTCTTGGACTTAATCATGTTAAGGAAAGTAGAGATGGCTGGGCTTAGCGCTGACTACATTATCTATTCATTTGTCATGATCAAGAAACTGATGAACTCTAATTCCATTACCCTAGGGACTGTCAAGTCCAAAAAAACTTTACTTAAAAATTATTGCTGATATGTTGTTAATGTTATTAGTGTCAGGATTTAGAACTCTCTTTACAAAGTGTTGATTTTGTGTAATCTTATCATGTGTTGCCATAGGAACCAAATAATGGCCTCTTTACTATTGACCCTGTGACTGGTAAAGTGAAGGTCAAGGCTGAGAGCTTAAAAAATAGATCAGATATATACAGGTAACAAGCTTTGGAAATTACTTCTTAATTTTGGAATTTTAAGTCCTAACTTGATATATTTTTAAAAATGCTTTTCTTCAAGTAATGTTAAAAATATAGCCAACAAAAAGAATCTCTATCAGCAACTATGTTTGTTCTTAAAAATTTTTCAAGAAAACCATTTTCTTTCAAAATTTATGTTGTATTTCATACAAGTGTTTAGAAGTTAACTACTGTTAGGAAAGTACATAAAAACCATCATTTATATTATTTCTTAAGATGTTTTGTAATAGTTTGTTGCTTCTTTTTGTCTGAATGTTGAGTTAAATTTTTTAGTTACACTGTGAATGCCACTGACCATGGTAAAAAGGCTAACTCACGCAGTGTAAACCTGACTATCACGGTGCTTGATGAGAATGACAATGATCCTGTTTTTATTGACAAGCCAGCTCCTGGAATACCAGAGGCAAGTCATAATGTTTGTGGGCTTGTGGTACTTTTTTTTCTCTTCTCTCTGTGGCTCTAGTACAATAGGACAGCATAAATATGTTGTGACAATTAACACTTCACCTTCAAAGAGCAAGAATTCTTTCATCTACTCTATAAAAACTGCATTTTGTTGTGTTTTTGATATGGTTAATTAGATTGGATTTATACAAATATAGGACCTACTCTTTGCTCTCACTAGCTTGACTACTGTTGTTATTTTTTTAAATCCCCTAAGTCCATACTCACATACATATAAAGTACAATAACTCATTCTTTTGTGCTTTTTTATTTTATTTGTTTATTCAGTAACCTGTTTACCCCAATTTTTTCTTATTACTTAGTAAAATTAGTTTTTACTTTTACCATCTTTCATAGTCGTTCCTAATTGACTATAAATCACACAGGCAGATTAGTTTTTATAATAACTTGTTTAAATTGACTAAGTCTTTTTTTTACTTGATTCTAGTGTACTGGCCTTAATAAAATAGTGTACACCTTCCAAGCCACTGACTTGGACACAGATAAAAATTCCAATGGACTGGTCAGATACTACCTGGACAACAGCACAGGGGAAGACTGGAAGCTGTTTACCTTGGATCCAGAAAGTGGAGAGCTTATGTTAAAAACTAAGCTGGACACTGAAGTACAAAAGACAATCCAGGTACTATTTTATTCTCATGTGATGTTTTGTGAATCTTGAAGATTTGACTATTACTATAAAAAAATAATTTCTAAGTTTAACACCTCAAGTGTAATGTCAGTTTGCTAAATTAGAATGTAATGTTTAAGTGAATTACCTTATAATTTATAGTCACATAGTTTTTAAGTAGGCTTTGTAAAAAATACATACTTTATCTTGCCGTATTAAACAAAAGCACTTTACAATTTGATTATAGGCCAATTAAAATATGGTGAAAAGTTTATACTTTTTGCCTTACTATACAAATTTAAGTTTTCATTATAATTTCACCTTATTAATCCTTATTAATACAAATTAATAGATCCATGTTATAGCCCAAGACCAAGGAATCCCTCCAAGATCAGCATTGAAAATTATATCATTTAATGTAGAAGATGTCAATGACAACCCTCCAATCTTTGACCCTGGACAACCTAAGACCTTTTCTTTGAAGGAAGAAACTGAAAATGTGCCTGTTGGTACTGTTGTAGCAACAGATAAGGATTACAACTCTTCACTGACCTATCAGTTTCATGGTGGGCTTTCATAATTATTTATTTTTATGTGTAGAGATGATGGAGGTTAAAAGGTAGAGCAGGACTTAAATCTGTTGGAAGTCGCTGAATCTAGTTAGCTTGAATGGGAACCTGATTTTAATTAGAGTAATGTAATAACCAACTGGCATAGTGTTGACAACAACCCATCTATATGCAGTATTTTTAAAAAACCATGCATTATTAGAAATATGAGTCATCATTTCTAAAAAAAATTTACCATATATGTTTATTATAATATTGTGTACTGAATTATACACATTCATGTATACAATGCTGCATGTAAGAAAATAACACAGGTTTAAAATCTTTCTAGATGACGTCGTCAATAAAAATCCATGGCTAGATCATTTCCAAGTTACCACAGACAGAGATCAAAGAGGCATCATCTCTGTTGTCAAACGCCTGGACCGTGAGACAGTGGACTCTGTGAAGTTGGTCATCTTCGCTGTTGATTCCTCATCACTCTCTCCTGCTACCATGTGCACAGGTTTTTCAACACACAGTAAAACTTCAGATCCTTTTGAAATAACCATAACAGTTGAAGACATTGATGATAACCCCCCTGTGTTTAAGGAGAAATCATTGACTACTGGTTTTCTTTCAAGCACAGAAGCTGAGAGGCCTATCATGAGCCTAGTGGTAAGTCTAGCTGCTTTACAAAACTGACTGCTTACTTTTAAATCCTAAGTCTTTCTGGTTCAGTTTAATCATCACTGTATCTATAGAGAATGGCACTCCCTATAACGAACATAGGCACCATAATGCTCACAGGGGAGCCCAGGGATCTCTAGGTCACGCAACCAGCAGATGCGCCTGGTGCAGTTTGACTGTTTAATTAATTAGTATCTCTGATCCCTTGTAAAGGACTCCTAATCAACAGATCCCAGGTGCTAAGATGGCCGCTGGTGAACTCTGGATGCCAAACCATGCTTTCGTGCCACAGTTCCAAAATAAACAATTTATTTTTTATTGCAGAAATCTCCCCAGTATTCTCAATGTTTCATGGCAATCAGATGAACAGTGTAGTAATGCATAAAAGGCAAACACACTGACATACCCACGAGCTATCATTTATTTATATGTATCTATATAAATTAATGTTAAATGTTGCTGTGATTGAAACCGAAAACTATTTCAGGACTATGTGTTGGACAATGACACAGCAGCCAACAGTGTTCACAAGTTTTTCCAGGTGGGGGACCTGACAGCAGATGACCAGCTGCTAAAGGGCTGGTCACCTGACAGTAACCCTCACCCCCTGCTGGTCAACATCAACGGCTCCATCACAACCACCTTCAAGTTCCCAGAAGATGCTTATGGCTTGTTTACCTTACAAGTGAAAGTGAATGACAGTGCTGGTAGTGATTTGCTGGACTTAAAGGTACATCACCTATTCATGTACTAAGTTAGATAACCTACTCATGTACTAAGCTAGATAACCTACTTATGTACTAAGGGAGATAACTAACTTATGTACTAAGGTAGATAATTTACTCATGTACTAAGGTAGATAACTTACTCATGTACTAAGGTAGATAACTTATGGTATATATCTTACACATCAACTTTAGCCTGGGTACTGATCTTATAGTTTGTAATCACTTCTAATATACAACAGTTATCCTTTAATAGTGTTTAATCAGAAATTTCTCTACTAAAATAAAGATAGTGTCTCTAGTCTTTAGATGTCTATAAAGTACTAGCAAACCCTACTTTCACAGTCTGGTGATTAAGTAAAATAGTTATCAGATTTTCATCCACTTGTGCTATTGCATTGCTAAGTATTATGATGAGGTTTACTTTTGTGTTCTCAGTTTGTTCGGAGGTTAATTAGTGGTGAAATGTCACAGACCACTTGCCTATTCAACAAGTTTTTATCTTATTTTTCAATATTAGTTTATTTTTCTCTCTAATAAAACAATGTGGTTTTTTCTTACAGCTGTATGTTGTAGGGAAATCACAGGTTGTTGAAATGACCACAACTCATTCAGAGGATGAACTCAGACACTTACAACATCAAATAACACAGTAGGTTATTACTATAACTTTATTATAAATCTGCTGGCTGTGAAACATTATCAGATAACAGGTTTTTCCCTGGTTCAGTTTTATATCAGTGAAATTTATTTTTAAAAACCTCATATGTTCTAGAACTCTTACAAGGAATAAACTTTCATTACTTCTGTTTTACCTAGAACACTAGCATGAAATACACAATTTTATAATTATGTTCTATTTAATTCTATTTCATGTAGAATGCTGAGTGATGAGGAATACACATTTGTACCTGACAACATCCTGCCTTTTTATGATGAATCTGGTCATGTTAATGGCTTTAAGTAAGTCAATGTTCTATCAGTTGTTTTTTTCTATTTGGCCTATTGACAGCTTGTTTTAAAAAATATTTGTGTAGCCCTTTTCAAATTACTTCTATAAGTATACACACATAAATACCTATGTATCTCTGTTTGTCTGTGTGTGTGGATATATATATATATATATATATATATATATATATATATATATATATATCTAATATATAAAGCTCAATTCTGTAACGCATATGTTTGTTTGTCGCTGGTTATCGATGGATTTAAGTGTTAGAAAATTATCGTGCGCGTTTGTCTAAATTTATGAGTTAAAAAATTACTATTAAAAGTGTTGGGAAATAGTTTTCATTTTTCAAATTATAGTAATAATTGTCGGCATGTTCAGTAAACACAAGTTTTAAAAAAAATATCATCTTTTTCAAAAATTGTAATTATGTCTTTACTTAGTCCTATAGCGCTTACTTCCCTTTGATAAATTAGGCAAAACACATTTACTTCCCTTTATAAAACCATTGCATTAGTTGAAAAGCATTTACTTTTTAATTACTTTGTTTTGGTGTTGGGAAAAAAATAATTACATAATTAGCGGGGATTGATCAAGTGCAAATGTTGTAGGTATTTTACGGATAAGCTTGGAGTATTATAATTGTTCATTAAATTGAAACAGGGGCGTTCGTTTAAGTGAGTGCAAAAACTATGAATAAGTTGGGGTACTATAGTCGTTTATTAAGCTAAAACAGGCGATTCTGCCCCGGGCGTTTATGTTCGCGTTAGTGTTTTCTTTGTGTTTAGGTGGGTTTGCATTAGTGGTTGCGTTTTGATTTGGTTCGTTTTTGTTCTTTCTTTTTTCGTTTTTGTTTGTGTTTTTTTTTTTTGGGTTTGTATTTGTGTTTTTGGTTGGTTTTGCGTTTGGATTTGGTTTGTTTTCGTTCTTTCTTTTTTCGTTTTTGTTTGTGTTTTTTTGTTTGGGTTTGTATTTGTGTTTTTGATTGGTTTTGCGTTTGGATTTGGTTTGTTTTCGTTTGCTTTTTCGTTTGTTTTTTTTTTTTGTTTTTTTTTTTTGGTATTGGTGTTTGTGGTTGGGTTTGTTGTTTGGTTTTTGTTTTCGTTTGCTTTTTTGTTTGTTTTTTCTTTGTGTTTGTATTGGTGTTTGTGGTTGTGGTTGGGTTTGTTGTTAGGTTTTTGTTTTCGTTTGTATTTGTAATTGTGTTAGCGTTATGTTTGCGTTTTGTTGTTTTGGTTGGTTGTGGTTTGGGTGGGCAATGCCGGGTTTATGATGATTACTCAACACACAGGTAATGGTCTTTAACAGAAAGGTTTTTCACAGAAGCCAGAGCAGGGCCTGGCCGGGACGGCTAGTATATATATATATATATATATATATGAGCCGACCCGCGTCGAACCATACGCCGCTATTTAGTTATTTTATTTTCTACTTTTCAGTAATTCATAATTTGAATGCTGCCACTGAAAATATTTGCTTTAAAACACTAAAACCCTCCTTTCCCCCAACCGCTACCCTACACACACACACACACAGCCTCCTCTTAGTTACGTCCCCTAAGTTTAAAATCACAAAATCACTTCAAACTATATTATATGCCCCTAAAAGCCATCACTAAACCCGGCTCTACGATTGTAAACGTTTAGTGTGAACTACAGCTCACCAGACCATATGGGTGTGGTAGGGATATGCCTAGAGAGGAAAAGAGGGGGCTGTTCGGTGGCTCGCTTACAGCTTGGTGTTTTCTATGGTCTCCAAGAAGAGAATTATATATATAGATATATATCTATTGATATATATATATAGATAGATATATATATATATATAGATATATATATATATATATATATATATAGATATATATAGATATATATATATATATATATATAGAGATATATATATATATATATATATATATATATATATATAAAACTTCTTTTTTTTTAATGCCAACAGATCTATACTGGTAGCTCACGCTATAGAAAAGAGTACTGGGAAGATAGTAGATGCCAGCTCTCTACTGCGGTGAGATTTTTTTTCTAGCCAAAGGCTTTACTATTATAATTAAAGGTAATAAATATCTATTTCTTATTGTGTATGTATTTAAATATTTAGAAGGCTTTATTTACAGGTAGATCATGCAAACCTGGGTGGCTTTTGATTTGTCTTGATGTACATCCTATAACAAAATGTTTAAAATTTCTTGTTTATTGTTTACAGTATAATGGATACCAAAAGCCAAGTTCTCTTTCCATTTAACATTATAACAACTGAGGTAAGTTATTACAGTATACAATATAGGTCCATCATTTAAAATATTGACAGGTTCAACACTGTAGGTAACATTAAATGAATGTGTAGAATTGCATATTATATTTTGTAACCAACTTAACTATAAAATTGTAATGTACACTAAACAAAAGTTATAAAGTAATTGCTAATTGTTATATAATTTCTGTCATAATTAGGAATATTACTTTATAATATGAAGGGAAAATGGTTGCACAAAAAGTAATTGGCTTGTGAGTTTTTTTAAATAATGATATCATGTAGCATCATACTATATGGTTTAGATACTAGTCACAGATCTCAACCTGCAAACATTTGAGCATTGACTTGACTGCATTCTTCTGTCTTCTTAATTGTCATGTTGGAAGGTATTTCCTCCAACACAACTAAGTATTACATGTCAACCATATGGCCGGTTGATTCTGATTTCAGCCTGCTTTTCTTTCTGGGTTTGTTTCCAAAGTCTTTGTCTAACCAAGAACAAACTACAAGGCAGCAGTTGTTTGATTTTTGAGAATGATGGTTGTCTTATTTTGTTGACATAGAAGGAGCTATGAAAGACAGTAGTGACCGCATTTAGCAATATTTAGGTGTTGATCCTTTGTGGTTTAGACACTCTTGAAATCTCCAGTGGCTTGACCCGATGGTACACCATATAAGGAGAGGAACTAGCATCGTCTCTTCTCTTGAATGTTTTGCCTTAGTTCATGCCTTATTTCGATGGTTGTCTAGATAGGAGCTATGAAGTAACCCATATTTTGCGATATTAGTATTTTATGTTTGTCTGCCTTATGGTTTGTTGGCCTTTTGGATGTCTGTCTTATGTCCGTGTCGATTTTCTTAAGTATTTTAAAAACTAAGTTTCAGTTATTTTTTGTAATATCCTGTGTGAATATGCTATTATAGACATTTGAAGAGTGTTCACAATATCATGAAGGCGAAATTAAAAATGAATGAAGAGGTTTTACAAATGTCTGTATTATCATACATCTACTGATACAGACAAAAATATACAGTGTTTTCAATTGTTTGTATTATAAATTGTATCTACTGTTTCAGGCTGGTGATAAAGCCATGAGGAAGGAAGCGGCCAAACAAGACGATCGTACAACCTATATTCTTGTGGCATTTATTGTTATTGTAGTTATAATCTTTATTATAACACTCTTTATGCTACTGCACACCATACGAAGGTAAAATATGTGTGCTATTTTATGTAATGATTGTAGGTAAGAAAGGATTTTTCATATCGCATTTTTAATCTAAATGGGAATATTCTATTTGAAGGCTGTGAAAATAAAAAAATTCTATATTTTACTTTTATAAAACAAGTTATGTAATTAATAGTTTTTAACAATCTCACCTCTAATTGGACATACACTTTTGAGAAATTAACTTAAATTTTAGTAGGCTGAAACTCTCAATAGTCTATGGTTACACAACTTGATTATACTAGACCTAACAGTCCGTTTTTTTTATAATGTAATACTTGCATTGTTATTCAAAATGTAGGTTCAAGAGAAAGTTAAAAGCTGCAACCATTGAAGTACATGGTGAGTTCTGTCACAAAGTTTTGTTTCAAATGGGGTAAAAATGTGCCCATGTATCATCAGATCTGTCCCAAAATGTTGTATCAAGTGGGGTAAAAATGTGCCCATGTATCAGATCTGACACAAAATTTTGTATCAAATGGGGTAAAAATGTGCCCATTTATTATCAGATCTGTCCCAAAATTTTGTATCAAATGGGGTAAAAATGTGCCCATGTATCATCAGATCTGTCACCAAATTTTGTATCAAATGGGGTAAAAATGTGCCCATGTATCATCAGATCTGTCTCAAAATTTTGTATCAAGTGGGGTAAATATGTGCCCATGTATCATCAGATTTGTCTCAAAGTTTTGTATCAAATGGGGTAAAAATGTGCCCATGTATTATCAGATCTGTCCCAAAATTTTGTATCAAATGGGGTAAAAATGTGCCCATGTATTATCAGATCTGTCCCAAAATTTTGTATCAAATGGGGTAAAAATGTGCCCATGTATCATCAGATCTGTCTCAAAATTTTGTATCAAATGGGGTAAAAATGTGCCCATGTATCATCAGATCTGTCTCAAAATTTTGTATCAAATGGGGTAAAAATGTGCCCATGTATTATCAGATCTGACACAAAATGTTGTATCAAGTGGGGTAAAAATGTGCCAATGTTTATTAACATCCAAAAATATTTAAATTTCAATTAAAGTACCCTTTAAATAACAAATATTATTCATATTTATTTATAACATATTTTAATAGAAATTAGCATTTGTTTGACTTTATGTTGTATATTTTCCTAGGAATGGATCCTATTAATCCTGTTAAATTTCCTGGTTTGGACAATGACCATATGAAAGGGTAAATTTTTTTTTTACTTTCAGTTTATACGACCAAATCAATAAAAGATTATTTATAGCACAGCTAGTGATAACACCTGTTATTTTATAGAGTCATAACTTACTAGTTGTTTTTTTTTCTATTATTACTCTCTTAGACTACTTTTTTTTTTAAAATAAATCGCAGGATTAAAACAACCATGTTTTTAATTATATTTTGAAAATATATGGGTTGCTCTAAGAATTAAGAATTTTAATAAAAACTAATTAGTATCCACATTTTGTTTTAAATTCGTATATCTAGTTTTGCTAGTTTAGGACAAATCTTAGACTTGTAGCAAGTGCTGGTTTTAATTATACAGTTGTGTTTTAACATATGTAGGGGCTATCGTGAGAAAAAAACCATCTGTAGCAATATTTGGAATAATTTAAAATCCATCCATCACTTGCCTAAAATGAACATAAACAACACTAAATGTCTAGAGGAATCAGATTAATTGTATGCATTCTATACTTATTAAACATTTGTAATTTCAAAGACCTCTTTGTCAATTTATAAATATTTTTTATTTTTCTGCTTATAAATAGAATAATAGAAAAACAAATAGAAAAAGAATAAATTCAGGTTAATATAAAAAATTATAGGAGGGGACTTTTCTGCTTATAAATATGCCATTAGTAATGAATAAATTCAGCTTAAAATAAAAAAATTATGGGAGGGTTTGTGATGTTATACTGGTGGATGAGGTAGAAAATCATATGGCAAACAATTGTGGGTGGCACACAGATGAATTTTTGTGTTTTGTACTAATATTATTGTAAGAGTTTTGGGGTGGGTTTGAGTGCAAATGAATAATAAATGCATGGAATCCTCATTCGACATATAAGATACTGATGTTATTGTGTTGGTGTGGACAAAAAGGTTAGTTAATTTTGTCTAGATGCTTGAAGAGAGAGGACGTTGATCTAGGTTGTTGAATAGAATTTTACAGATGATATTGTCAGTGTTTCTCTGTTAGTGGGTCTTGTGTTTAGTACAGATGATATTGTCAGTGTTTCTCTGTTATTGAGTCTTGTATTTTGTACAGATGATCTTGTCTTATGTTTTGTATTTATGATAATGTCAGTGATTTTTTTTTAACTTTACTTCAGCTCTAACCCAATCTTCATGAGAAATGTGTCTCTTGATGAAGCAGAGGATTCTGTAAGGTAATGTATTATTTTATTTACAAGTAATATAAGACAAGCAATCCATTCTCCCGCTTTTGTTCCCATTATCACTAACCCTACTATCACAATTTCAATTGCTTATGTTTTAGCCAAACATCTGGAAACTCAATGGACGACAACGCTTTCAACAATGTTGATAGAGATGTGGTAGTCGACGAACAAGAACTGACGCTAGATGTGTACGGAAATGATGATCCTTATATGAGCTCAGATAGAATGCACAGCTCACTGGATTACAGACATGAAGAGTATGATGATGAGTATAATGAAGATGGACTGGTAGGGAAACCTCATCCGTCAGTCAGTGCCAGTAGACTTAACAGTGACAAAGATGATGAGGTCTTTGCCTTTGGCATCAGCACATTTGATGCCACTGAAATATAGAACCTTGCTGTGTTGTACACTTCTGTGGTAAATAAACCTGCATCACAATATCTAAGAGACAAATTGTATACTTCTGTGTAAAATAAACCTGTGTCATAATATCTAAGAGACAAATTGTATACTTCTGTGTTAAATTAAGTATGTTATATCTAAGAGACAAATTGTATACTTCTGTGTTAAATAAATATAGTAAGATTTAAGAGACCAGAGTAAAAATATCCAAACCTAATGGAGGTGAGCGAGTTGACGAGATTCCGTCCCCAATGTTGTTGACATGGAATAAAAACGTGCTTTTTAGATTTAGACCGTAAAAAAAAATAAAAAATAAAAACTTAAGCCTAAAATTAATTTAGAAATTTTATATTTTTAGAATAAATGTTATAAAAGTTGCAAATCCAGAGAACTTGAAAATAATTTGTTGAGTTTAAGGCTACATTTCTATTTATTTTCATCAAGCCTAAGTTATAACTGGATGTTTCACTTTTGTAAGACAAATATTGATTGGCTGTACAGTAACTTAGTGATCGATAACTATTTGTTTACAAAACTTTGCAGATTAAGTTTTTAAATAACAATGCAAATTTAAAACCCCATGACCTAGTTTTCTATTTTTAGCTTACAATGTGTACAATAAAATCAATGGCGGCCTATCCAATAGCAGGATGCCATTGTTTATGTCACCATTACACGTGAAAACCAAATTGTTTTTGCTTTTTTTTTAATTTTTATTTAGTTACCGAAAATATTATAAACATCAAATACATCCAATCTTTAGTAAAGTCCGAAAAAAACCAGATAGACAGGATTTTATAACCATATTAATTGTAACTACGCTGTGCATGATTTTTAAATGAATTTATACACCTCTCAAATACCTTTGAGACTTTTCTCGCTGGTGTCCATTGTTGGAGATCACACCTCTTGAATCTTTCACATTCATCAAATGTACAGAAAAATTCATTTACATTTGCTTAATGTTTTTCAAGGTATTTGTGCTTAATTGTCTTTAGTTATAAAAATGTATTAATAAAATAAGCTGGCTTATTGTAGATTAATGTTTAAAATTGTTTTATATGATCTGTATTATGATCACTGTGGTGCCAATATCTACTTCTTGGTATTATCTAAAACATTAATAATAATCAAAATGTACCATTAATTTTTTGTATGTAAGTTAGTACGTAAGACATACATTTTTCAAGAATGTGTATATTGTAGATATTTGCTAGCCCTAGTATTTAGCTATGAATTGTCATACAGAGCTGTGGAGTCTACTATACTATTTAAAATTGAAGACAGGAACCACACACGGTTACCTCTATGGCCAAAAGCTTATGTATTGCTGCACAGTGTTTTTAACATCTTATAAAAGGATACAATATATATTTTACTAAATGACAGCGCAGCAGGTTTTAACTCTTGCGCGGCTGCGCTACCGTACAGGTTAGAGGGAAGATTGTCACCACATAACCTCATGCAGAGTAACACAGACTTCTGTTTTAGGCCAAAAGGGGGTTATCTTTGATAGTTAGGTGCATTTTATTTTGATGCATGTCATACAAGTTTACAAAAAATAGATTTGTGTTACAGAATTTAGATTTGTAAACAGGAGAATAAGTCTCTGACTGTAGAGACCAAATACTCTCCAGCCCTGATTGTACACAGCACACACTTGACACTGCTTGATTTTCTAGCCAAAGTATGTCATATTTGTTGTTGTAGGTTTTTAATGTCAAAGAGTGATTTTTGTTTTTCCCTGTAAATACAACATATACATACAGGTATTTAATTTGATATTTTTACTGTGAAGATTGTGGCCAAAATCACACATCTTCAGTTTTAGATGAGGCATGTTATCTGGTCGCCTTGAATTTCCCTTTTCACGTTGCATTTCTAACCCATTTATTGAAATCTAATATATTTTTAAATTGGACTTAACTTGTGTATAATCTCCCATTACACCGCTACATTAGTGTGACCGCCCCATTGTTCATTGAAACTAACATGTCACCTAATGTTTAATACTAATGTTAAAGACTTGATAAAGATTCTAAGGTGTTTTATACTCTCCAGGCTCCAGGTGTATAATGAAATAACTTTAATTTTCTAGAGGATATTTTAGAATAATGATTTTTATGTTTATTTTTTTTACATTTGTACTAAAATGCAAATTTTAAAAATTATCAGATTAATAAATTTAAAAATATATTTTTTAAAGTGCACTGTGTTTATTATGTCTTGTGGAGAAGGGGGGGAGAGATTAACTTAGAAAATCTATTTTCAAGAGATAATAAAACATCTTTAAACATCAGTTGGAAATTTAAGAAACACAACATTCTAGTTGATAAAAAAATGTTATTTTAAAAATTGAGATGTAGAGAGATATAATATCAACAGTTGGACGCTCAAGACTGGATTTTGTCATATTCGGGCTAACTTTAAATTATTTTCAAATGTTTTACTTGTCATTAGGCCTAAAAATTATTCTATGTGGGTTATTTTAATCTCTGATAGCTACAATTAATTAAAAATTACTACTAGAGTAAAGAAATGCAATTTTAAACAGAGACTTGTTTCAAAATGTAAATTCAAAAATCTCAAAATAAACGCTGATTAAACTTGCGATCACTGGTTTCATTTTGTTTTTGGTCGTCACCAATGTTTTATTTTCTTAAAAATCTCCATTGGCCTCATTCAATCATTTCATGGTATTTCAGAATAATAACTACCCAAAAAACAAATTCCCCTTAAACACGTAGGCTTTAAAAAACGTGCCAGAAAATATAGACCTCAAAGTTCAACGGGGAAAATCTTGAATTATGTCAGCAATATTTGTGTTCTAAGCCACTGCCAACATGGATTTGCTCCAAGACGAAATTAATATCACGAGCCCGTTTTCTTCACCCCCTCCCTCCCTCATAATCGAATATTTAGGCTTTAAAACTCATTTCATCTTTTCCCGTTCGTGCCCAAAACACATGGGGAAATGAAGTAAGGTTAGTATGTTTCCGTGGCCTCGGCATATCAGGGAATGTGTGTTCAGCATATTGTGTTTAGCTCTATGCCCGTCGCCTTTGTTACCCTAATGTGAGTCATATGCCTATCATAGTTGGGTGGACTAAGCCTGGGATCCAAACTCTAGACTTTCAGGTTAGCAGTCGTAAGCTCTACCTTCCAACCCGCAAAGAGCTCATTTGGTGCCTTAAAATTAAACTCAAATGGCCCTAAGAATATTTTAAGAAGTTGAGAAATGATCGACTATTAGGGGTTTTTTTTTGGTTAGATAATAGATATCGTTTTGCGTTGATGGCTGTGTCCTACTTTTAATACCTTAGTAAAGTATCGAATTGTGAACCTAACATTGATATGAATAAAAAGAACGGTTTGGTTGGCCTGTGTCTTACAGTCCGAAATCTCTACTGAGATTCTCACCAGCTCATCTGGGTGGGTGATGTTTGTATATATTTTTTTAATGTACAAGGGGAGGGGGGCAACCTAAAACTAAAATTTATACTTTAACTAGTGTCCTACACTTCCCCACTCCACAGAGAATTATGTCTGAAATAAAGAACCATTGCCACCCCTGTGAAAATTCTTGTAAATAGAAATCAAGACTTGACTTGCTAAAAACGTGTAAAGAAGGCTGGACATTCAAGTAACTGCATCTGTCCAATAAGCCGTCCTATCTAAAACCAGTGTTTCTTTAAGACTTTTTTTTCTCGGGGGGGGGGGGGGGGGGGGGGGAGACGCTTAATATTTTGGGGGGAGAGGGGGGGGGGACATCACACTAGTAAAAGTATATATGTTCTTTATAAACTCCACCCCCACCACTAACACCTGATTCAATTTTCTATGCCTAGCAACCGTGTAACCTTTTGTTTAGGTCCAAAACTTCCCGGCCGACCTCATAGTTACAGGGCGTTTGGGATTGTGCACAAATTCGTCATGCTAAGAGAGTGGGGTGGTTTACGATTTTATTGTATTGATTTGAAATGGTGTGCCATAAATTTAGAGTAGGTCCTTAACACTGCCGTAAACTTATTTTGATTTTTTTAATATAAATTTATGTTGTTTTGAAATGTTTGGATAAACTAATTAACACATGTTATTGTTAACAGTGTTTCTTCCAGACTTTTTTCCCCGGGGGGGCACTTGAAATTTTCGGGGGGGGGGGGGGGCGGTGAACTTTCTTCGGGGGGGCGGACACTGTTAAAAGTATATATTTTCTATATAAATTATATAAATTTTATTTCGTTCGGGGGGGCGGTAAAATTTTTTCGGGGGGGGGGGGGACTTTGCCCCCCCGAAGAGATGCCTGGAAGAAACTCTGATTGTTAATCCCATCTTTTTACACAATGTTACGCTGTGTGTTAGCTTATTATTAAGATGTTAACATGTAATTTTATCGAAAGAAGTGACTTCCTTATGTTCAGAAAATCGCAATATTTTCATAGTAACAAATTGTGCCGTGCTGATTTGAATATGGTTCATATTCATAAAGTTCAGTAATAAAATGTTACAAAATTGTGTAAGAGGGAAGGGAGATAATTACTTTTTGTGGTAACTAATACCAGGTTTAAGTTTCCCAAAATCTGGGTAGTTTTGTACACTTGGCCCAGGTGTAAACTTTATTGTGCAGGGTCAGCAGTGTAATAAAAGTTTACAGTTATTGCAGAAGGGGGTAGTCTATGATCAAGCTCAAACTCGAAGCCCGAAGAACGTGACTGATATCATGACTAAGCTTCACTCTTTTATTCTCTGCGGGTACTTCTAACTAACGAAATCCCCGATATTAGAATTTAAATCATTTCCCCAAACCCACTTTTAACACAAATCCGTGTATTGCCAAGTTGGCCACATGGATTTTGTTGGAAAGCGGACACTCCTTTCAGTTTAAACATCAGTTCGGGAAAAACAAATGTTCTATTTTTAGAATTCCCCGAACTCCGGATTTTTCAAAAAACCGGTTGTAGGCCTACTAAAACCCAAGGGATTTCTCAAGTTTAATTTAGTTCAGAATAGAAATTGCCAATCCCATCTAAATAAAATCTCAGTGCATTGAAGGCTTTTTGAACGAAGAAATCTCTCAGGTAAGGTACATTCAATTCTAATTAATGATAATGTAAAGAATATTTCGTATTTATTTTACTCGCATGATTTGTATAATGACTTAACGAAATGGCGAATAATAGTTTTGTTATAACTTTTCCCGTAAACCAACCTTTGTTCGATTCTAATTATAGAGCCTATAAACTAGTTATTACTACTACATTCATGTCAGACTGTGAATGGTTCGTGTTAAAATGTGTCTATAAAAGCAGATAAGGATTTTTTTTTCTGTCAGAAGATGAAGGTGAAGAAATCGATACTTCAAGGCCAGTGTTTCTTCCAGACTTTTTCCTCCTGGAAGGGGAGGGGGGGGGGGGGGGAGCACTGGTAAAAGTATATGTTTTTACATAAAT